AAGGGCCGTAAATCTTCAACTATATATATATATATGTACATACATATATGATATAAAAAATATGATATAATATATACAAATATGATATAAAAAATATAATGTCATATCATATAATGTAATATAACATCATATAATATAATATAGTATAATATAGTATAATATAGTATAATATAGTATAATATAGTATAATATAATATAATATAATATAATATAATACTATATAATATAATATACATTGCAATACATCAAATATAGTAAATGATATACGGTACATCATAAACAGTATACAGTATACAACGTATAATATGTAATATATAACACATAAGATATCATATAAACACATATATATAATATATTCATTCAAGACTGCATTCGGACGAACGGTCTCAGTCCCAACCGAGCAAGGGGACACAAATGTATATATACACCGGTTATACGTATATATACATATACATACGTACGTACATACATACAGAAAACCAAAAGAAATGCAAGTGTGTATGTGCGTGTGTACATATACATATATATATATATATACATATACGCACACACGTACAGACGACATATGAATATATATATATATATATATACGTATGCATGTTTAAATATATAAAGATATATATACATATATTACATATATATATATATATATGTACATATGTATATATAAATAGATCTATCTATCTACTTATTTACTTACATAAAAATACGGCGACGTCACCGCAGAGATAGATACATGCCTAAAAGGGACAGATACATGCATACATACTTTCTAGATATAGACATAGATATAGATATAGATATAGATATAGATATAGATATAGATGCAGATGTAGAGATACATATAAATGTAAACATAGATAAGCCACTAGATTGCAGAAAGCACATGCACCAAAAAGACATCAGCAGCCAATCCAATTTTGGTGATCATGGGACGCCAAATCTGACGTAGCTCAATGCAAGTCCAACGGTGTCTTCATGAGAGGCTCGCTCACCCTGTGATTGCTGGATGTGTTTGGAAGGTCACCTTCTTGTGTTTTTATTGTGTTCCATCCTATTTTGGACTTGCTGGTAGTCTGCCGTTTCTTCTGGTAGCTAGGACAAAAACATGGTTGCCACCTGGGTCTTCCAGTCTCGTAAATAAGTGATAGAGTAAATTCCGCTTGTAACTTGTCGAGTAATCCTGCATTGCGGATTTTCTGGCTGCTGTGATAGAGTTCTTCTCGGCCTATTCGCATCTGATTCCTGCTTTCCTGGCACCTCTTTCGATGGCTACTCACTGCTGTTGGCAACTAGCACACGTCCTTCAAGGTTGTTGAAGATGCATGGAAAGGCAGTCGCCCTGGTGATTGTTTAATCGCTCAGGGGATAGTGTGCCATATCGTACGGGTCGCTTAGAGTAGGTTATGCCGATTTTTGCCCGAATCTTGCGTATGCATTCAGTATCAATCAGTAAGCTGTGAGCAAAACGCGTTGAACAAAGTGCCAGGCTTCTCCCATTGTTCGATTTTTACGTTGCCCTCACAGACTGTATTATGTATCATCCACATTTCTGCTGTTGCTAGGTTATTCATTAGCTGGTCCTGTTTTGGCCCACCCAGCCACCCAGTTTCGCTCTTCTCACTGGCAGCCGCAGCCGTAGACACCGCACATCAGCAGCAGCAGTGGTGGCGCACCAAAGCAGTAGGGCCAGGAGTGGTACCGGCAGTATTGGTCGTCGTCGCCATGGCAGAAGTAAGTGTAGCGCTAGGGCCAGTGGCAGTTGCCGTGGCGTCCTCGCGGTCACCGTTGTCGCAATTGTCGTGGCTGTGGTGCGCTTGCTACTCCTTCCAGTGCTGCGGTCTTCTGGGGCGATGATGACTTCTTAGCAGCTCTCATCGCTTCATCGTCTCGTGCTGTTCTTACTCCTTCCCCTCCTTGTTTTTGCAAGTATCTTTCATTTCAACAACCTGGGGAACCGGCATTGGGAGTTGGGCCACCAGCCCAGAGCAGAATGGCTCTGGGCATGCCAATGGGCGAGGCTGCCATCATCAAACCTCGCATGTCTGCAGGAGGTCAGAGCCCCCCCTCTCGACTTCCTGGTCTCGCTGGAAACTCGACAGCTGTCTGCTTCAGAATCATGTCCCTATGTGTGGAAAGGCGACGCGCCAACCTCGCACAGACTCGGGTGCTCGTGGCAACTTGCAAGGCACTGTGCTTGGTTGGGTTTCTCGGGAAGGGGGTACTTGCAGTCCAAGAAGCTGTGCGAAAAAGCAGGAGCTCCCGGCCAGCACCTTGCGCCGCGCAGCGATCTTGAAGGATTCGTAAGCTTTATTTACAACCAGACCTGCCTTGTCTGCCCGCAGCTCGTGTCCAGGAATCGGAAGGATGGCCTGAGAGCGGTCGCCCGGCTCCGTGCCTGTCCAGACCCGGACTTCTGCAACCGAGTGGCCTCACGGGCCGTCGGCATCCGCAGGTCCAAAGTGTGCACCGGGCTGCTCTGGGCACCGCGGCCACCGATCAGGAGGCCACTGGCTCCGCTGGCTGCCAGGGCCGTGCAGGAGAAGGAGGACGGCCAGGGAACCTCCATGGCAGAAGCAGACCTTAGCAACACGACTCTCCAACTCCAAAGACATGCTTCTGGGCTCAGGCTGGGGGACGTAGGGCAAACCTGCTTCGGCTGAGCCACTTCCTGAAATCCCAAATAACACAGCTGGACGGTCCGCTCAGGGCCACGTGGTCTGCATCTAGCGGGGCAATGACCGGGCACGAGAGCGCAATGTCGCAGCTCTGACGACCACCATCAGCCTGGCTGAAGAGAAGGTCAAAGAATAGCTTCGGAACGATCGATCTAGATGCCAACTGAAGCCTATCAGGCCAGTGACTGCGGAAGCGCGACAGGGCAAATTCAATGCAGGCTATGCAGGCCTTTCTGTCCCGCAAAAGAAAAACTAGTGATGAACTTTGGATGGCCCACACAGAAATACCCAAAAGGTATCGACGACATGGACATTGGACATTCTGCACTGGCGACCTTGTACATCCGGGCCGCTACCCTCTCAGACTCCGTGACACTCAGGCGGCCTCCAGGTCGATCACACGGACCTGCAGGCAGGGCTTCGGCCCTGCAAAGGCTGGCACGAGCTTCGCTACCTTCGGTCCTTGTAGAAACGCAGCCACCTGGGCCTTCCTCCAAGCCTCAAAGCACCCTCCCTGGTTCCTTGCCTTCTGGGCGAAGGCCGCCACCAGGCGCCCTCCAGCCATCCAGTGGGCGTCCCGCGCGGCCCCGTCAGCCTTACGGCCTTAGGATCTGAGGCTTTTCGGGACGGGTCTGCTTACGGCTGTCTGCACCTGCATGTATGCTTGAGTGCATGCACTTCGCGGTGCTGGTGATGATGTTGATGATGTTGTTAGGGTTGCTGCTGTTACTGCTGTCATCCTGCTGTTTCTCATCCTGCTTCTGCCGCCTACCTCTTCCGCTCGTGTTGCTTATCTTATGAGTCTTCCTCCCCTGCCATGATTCTTCGTCGCCGCAGGCATGTATGACTTGCGGGAGGCAGGCCCGTCGAGGTTATGTACTTTAGCTCCAGATCTGGGCACCGGTCCGAAGAGGGAGGTCGGCGTGGCGCGAGGATCCGAGAGGTCGTGCAATGCAAGCGAGCCTCCTTCGGCGCTTGTAACACCCCGAGAACTTGCTTGGAGAGTTCGGAGGCAAGGTTCTCACCTAGACTACACCGGGAAGGATATTCAGCCTGAGAATGCTGCAAATATTCACGAGGCATGAGGCCCAGAAACAACAGGAAGCGGCAAGCAGCTCGCGATCGAGCCTGCCTGGCCCAGTACCTCCAGTAATCACATTAAGACTTAACCTGCATCCCCAGTCATGAAAACAAAGCCGTCCTTTCCCAAGCACAAGGAGGGTGTCTTGCCAGACGTCAATGCTTTGGATGTGGCCCCGAAGCTTGCAAAATCGAGGCTTCTCGTTCAAGCTGGCCAGATTCCAGATTGCGAGGCCTCAAAGGCCGTTTCAGATGGAAAGACATGCGGAGATCTGCCCTCATCTACGGAGACTTGTTTCCCTGACTCAAATCGACAGTACTCGTGAAGAAACGCCCGCCCTGCGGGTCGGGATGCTTGTTCGACTGGGGTCGGCGATTGCAAGAAAAAGGGCACTCTTCTTGACAAATATGCGTGGTGAGAAGCTGAAAACAATCCACCACTCTTCACACCGAAGGGCCACTGTCTTTGCTGCTGCTTTCCCCCACCGCCAGCAAGCGTGAGTCGCTGTGCCGCACACAGCTTGCCGTCTGGAACGGCATTGCCAGGTCCTCCTGGCGAACCTGGTGCCGGTTCCAAGCTAGCGGTAGTCTGACACTCGACGGGGTCGCCACAATCATTCCAATGTCATCGTTGCCCTTGCCCTCTACTTGTGGGCGTATGTGCAGACCGGGTTAATCTGGCTCAGCCGCAAAGTTGGAGCCACGGGACTGAAGAGTTCGCTTGAAACTCCCGCACGACCCTGCACTCGAAGATGGGGGCCGCCTGCATTGATGGAGTACTGCTTGGGCTTCCGGTTCTTCAGGAAGTATGGGCCTTCTATCTGTCGTTTCAACACGCCTGTTATACCTCTCTGAGCCGCATTAAGAGCACATTGACCAGCCTGTCAGACATGATGTCAGATCATCAGCTGAAGCCTGAACTGAGGCCCTGAGACCCTGCGGATAGCTTGAGATATCCTGAAAGCTTCAAGTATCAGGCTCGTTCGTTTTCATTCCCGAAACACTCCTTGCTCCTGGAGACGGCCGCCCAGCGCAGGCTTGCAGCAACCGTCGCTGCAGCTGCCAGCGAGCAGAAAGAAAGTTCGGGTAGCTGTTGCAACCTCGCCGCATCGTTCGATAGCGGAGCCACTCGAGATACGTGGCCTGACGGCGAGACAGTTCATACTGCCTCGCCAATCCCGGTCTCCTAGAACTGCTTGCGGGACCGAGCGCTGTGTTAGCAGCATATCAGGGCCCCGAAGAACCCATTCCCCATGTCTGAACAGCCCTGCTCGGCTACCGAGCGACTGCAGGCTCTCCACGTTGAAATACTCTTCAATCAATTTGTGCCACCATTCTTCTTTCCAAGCGATGCCCTCGGGCGAATGTTTCATTCATAGCTCGGCGTCTTTTCTGAGCAGCTGCGAAACTGGAGGGCTAGCAGAGCTTGGCTTTTTCTGCTTCGGGGCTCCATGCTTAGCTGCCTGCCCTAGCATCCTGGCACCCTGAACCATCAGTGTCCACCCCCTCTAGCGAAACTAGGTGGATACACTGGTCCTTCTCAAACTCACGCCTTCGAGATTCCTTGCATCCCAGAATCCCGAAGGCCTTCAACTTCAAGCGGCCTGCCGCTGGAGCAGTCTGGTCAACCGCGCCGCATCTCCCACTGGCACTGCCTGCCGAATCATGAAAGCCTCAAAAAAACATGCATGAACAAACACAACCCGAAAGTTGTTCGTCGCCAAAGTGACCAAAGTGGAGAGGTTTGGATCCTGCCCTCTCTCCTGCAAGTACACAGCAGTCGGTCCAATCTCGGGTTTGGGCTTCAACAGCTGGTGGCTGCCTTTGTTCGATGAATCTGGACAGCTTTGTTACTGGCATAGCGTCGACGACTACATGCATCCTACTCCATCTCCGCATGAACAGAACCTTCCGTTGACCAGCATTTGTCAGCGCAAGTGCGATGAGATGAAGAAAGTTTAGCAGATCATACGGATGATTCACGGATTCCAACAGCACTGTGCAACTATGTGGGTTAACAAGTCAATACCCAAATGGACGCGACTGTGCTGCTGGACCGTTCTCACTTGAGATGTGAGAGGACGAAAGCTAAACTGGGGACGGAGGCGCAGTGCATTACAAATGAGAGCATCAAATGATGCAGTGCTCCTTGTATGCTTCGCTGCGAACTGGTAATGAGGCACGCAGCTATCATCTAATCAGGTTTGACAGAGAACTTGAGTTCGCATGCGTGTTCATAAATCCTAAGCCTCAAGCTCCTCCTGAACGCAAGAAAGATTACGGACTTCTCGAAGCGTTTGTTTACCCTCCTACAGACTCGTCGATGCCTGTGCTTGTTAACAGCGAGTCGGAAAAGAAGCCTCTGGCAAATTGAAGCAGTGTTAGGCAATACTGCAGTCTTCACTTGTGCAGATGTCCGCTGCGGCTATGTTTCCGAATGATAGCGGCTCTGCCGTGGAGGCGCCCCCCGCCCCCCCCGCTCAGGAGCAACGGCCCCTTACACGTTTGACCCCAAACCAAAGCCCCGAAGGAGCTAGCAGCTGGCTTTCGTGATCACGCCAGGAGCCCTGAACGAGTCGTTCACTTGGGTTTAAGCGATTGTCGAGAATCCATGCTGAAGATAGAGATGCTATTGCGAATGCAACAAGAAGCATTCTCGTCCACTGGCCTGCCTCAATAACTGTACACCAAGCATGCGAGGGAAGATGCCTCCGTCCGCAACACCGACAACGAGTCGGAGCATGGTACACAAGCTTCAAGGTGTGAGCAGTACTAGTAGATGGGTGACTTGCTGTTGCTTCCGTTGAAACTCCGCTTCGAGGGCATGCAGTGGCGAGGAGGCATGGATCCATGCAAGGTGCCGAACCACACGTGGCTTCACTTTGAGCTCACAAAGCACATCTGACCTCAGGAGAGATGCCTCAGCAGCCTTCTACTCTTGCTTTGAAACATTGCCTGTCGGAGTGCACGTTGGACTGTGCACAGGTCCAATTGAAGCGCTTTCGAATTTGAGCCCAAACATGGAACATGCCCCAACACAGCTCAGCCACGGCATGATGGTTTTTCGCGCTGGCGGGTAGAAAGGCCTCCCAAATGCAAGTGACGGGTCTTTTGCTTGCTTTGCGATGTGGAAAGTACTGCGACTAGTGGCAAGGCCTACCTACACAGCACTTGGTCTCTTTTGCTCTTGGATGAATTCGGTCGTCAGGATGCACACGGGGTCATCCACCTTCGGTGGGATACACTCGCTGGCCGGCTGCCACAGTTTTCAGAAGGATCATCCTCTTGAGCACATGTGACACAGCTGAAAAAGCCGTAGCCAAACAAGGCCCGAATCCCTTCTGCAGCATCAAATCCACGCCGTCATTGAACAAGTCCTGACTCTGACAATTGGAGAAGATTTCTCCGCACCGTTCTCCGGACTGCCTGCATTGGCGCCAGTCCAAGATGCAGAGTGATCATCGCTGCAGAAGGGAAGCACAAGAAGAAGCTTGCAGGCCAAAAGGTGGTGAGAGACAGCCGGGCTAGCAATCCAGATATGGTGCCGCGGGGCCTTGAGCCTCTCACTTAGACATGATTCCCAGAGCCTTCTCGCCCATGAGGTCCCCGTATTTCTTTGCCTCTGCTTTGTCCTCCTCTGTGATATCATGCCAGCAAGCATTCGGGGTGTCATCCTTGCAGTAGGCCGCAAGGCAGCGGGAGGCTCCGACACAGGAGCAATTGAACTCGCCCACGATCCACTTCTCCTCTTCCTTAGGCGTGCCTTCTGGGGACGCGAGGATGAAGTCCGTGGTCCACCAAAGAGGGACTGGCTCCTCTGCCAGCTCGAGAGATGGCCGGGGCCATAGTAGGTGTAGATGGACCCGGTTCCGCCAACGGCCGAGATACCGCCCTCCTTGGGTTTCTTGTGGATGATGCCAACCAGTGAGTCGACAATAAGGTTGTAGCGCAGCTCTCCTTCCACAATGCGTGGGCAGAAGCGTTGATCCACGAGCTGGCCACCGGCCTCTTTGCCACCCTCTAAGTACTTGCCGACACCCTTGGAGGTCCACTCTCCGGACTTCTCTGATCGGCCGCTCACGCAGAACTCGATGAACTCGGCCACGGTGTGGGTCTCCTCGTGGTTGTCGTTCGCCTCCATCGGCTTCAGGACCTCGCCATCCTCGCAGGACCTCTCACCGTACTCCTTGCAGTAGTTGCCCTCGGCCAGCTTGATGATCCAGATGCCCTCGCCGGAGGAGCCGCGGTTCTGCTTAATCACACGCGGCTGAAAGGCCATGGTCTTCTTAAAGCCGGCAGCAAAGTCTTCGGGAGAGTAGTATGCCAAGGTGTCTTCCAAGCCAATGTTCAAGGTCGCTACCTTGCACAAGGCATCCTTGGCACCCATTTTCTCCATAACGTCGGGGGAAGTTTCTAACGATTGCCTCGAACAGCACGATGACTAGGTCGTAACTGTTCTTTCGCCGCAGGACGACGCCTAAGCCTCAGCCCAGCGTCGCGCACACCGGTTCAGGACCAGCTGTGCGCTCTGCTCCCACTTCATGGCCTGCTCACGTGCACGTAGGCATTGTTGGCGATCACTTCCTTGCGCACGTGAGGATGCGCGTGCCCGAGCAGCGCGGTCCGCCTGTGCATTGAGCGCTCGCCCCACCATTTCTCCACACGGAGGCGGGGTCCACCGCGACGGCGCCAACTTCCCATGCGAGGGCACCCACCACAAGCTCACAGCCAGACGGGCCTGGACTTCCAGCAGCAACTGCGCTGCCCTGGTGGCCAAAAGGACAGCCGAGCCACCGCCTTGTATCACACGCAAAGCCGATTGGCAGTCTGAAATCAGGACGACCCGACCCCGAGCTGCAGTCTGGCCCAAAGCTTTGAGCACCGCCAAGAGGCCCTCCACTTCGGCGCGGTGTGAAGTCTGGTCCTCACCGACCAAGTCGGGGGAAGGCCAGACCTGAATGCCAGCTTTTCGAAGCGCCCGCATCCCGTCATCAAACTTCTGCTGGTCGCCGCCATCCGCCTTGATATGGCCTGGGTTGCAACGGACGATGATGAAGTTGAAGCCTTTGCACAGCTCAAAGAAGGTATCATGCTCTTCGTGCGTGTAGTGGATCAACTGGCAGCTCATGCCGCTTGCGATCATGCCGTTCGCAAAGACCATGGAATCATAGCGGTGACCGTTGCTGCTCTTGTCTGTTCCTCCATAAGGCTGGCTTCGCACAAAAATCTGGCAAAGCGTGCCCTTGAACTTTGGCTCAGCAGGCTGTGGTAGCAAGCCTTTGTAATCCTTGGCAACCACGGTAATGCGACCTGTCTCCACAGGTCCGGGGCATGGACCTTTGGGAGCATCGCCGGTTGCCAGAGCATCCTTCACCTTGGCAAGCTGATCTGCAGGAAGCTCTTTCAGAGCTGCTGCGATCTCATCCACGCTCTTTGCCTGGATCTCGTTCTTGACGTCGGTGGATGCTGCGGACCCCATTTTGCCGCAAAGAGAAGACGGGTCCGGAAGGCACGAGTGAAAATGCTGTCAAGCTTCTTTTTCAAAATGGCTGCGGTGCACGCTTCAGCTTCTGCGTCTGGTGATTGGATCATGCGCAGAGGAGCCACTGTGGCTGGCCGTCGGGTTCGGAAAATGGGTTTGCAAAGCCCCTGCTTGCCGCTCCAGGCATGGCCTCAGCGGAATGCTTTGGACCAGCCTCCAGCAAACAGCACTGTGAAGTTGCGCGGGCTTCTGGGGGCGAAGAAGCTCAACTCTGCGTGCGCTCCACTAGCCCCTTTCGGACGCGAGCTAATTACAGGCATACCCACAGCTGCCAAACGCCGTCCTCATCTTGGACACAACACCACACAGGAATTCAGGCAAAACACCGGAAAGGCTCTTCGGAGTTAGCCCGTGCGCAGAAGGCCAAAGCTCCGCAGTGCCAGGTGAGGGGCAGGGGCACCTCTGCACAAACAGGCAAAAAGCTTCGAGCTTGGAGCTAAGGCTGGCTCTGCATAGTGCGCATGAGCCAAGAACTGCTTGGAGCCATGCAGTTTAAGTCGAGGCACGCAGTGGGTCGCCACGACATGCTCTGCCTCAGGAGGTGCATGACGAACAAACCCGGCAAATTGAAGCTTCTTCCGAAAGTTCAGAAGCTCACACAGGACGGTCGAATACTGGCCTATGGCAACATAGAGGTCTGCACCCGCCTCGTGCAGCGGAAACTGCCCCAGTGTCACGTGGAAGTCCGGGTCTTCGCTCTCCGCGCCACGGCACTCCTCGGCAAACGCGCTTTCGCAGAAAGGCGGGCGAAGAAGCTCGGACCTGAGGCTAAAAAAACTGAAACCCCCTCTGAGCTCTCTCCGAGCTCTCTCTGAGAGCCTCTGAGTCTCCGGGAAGTCTTCCAGGAGCCTCTCCACGAGATCCAGCAACCAACGGCGCGTGGCATCGGACGGCGTGACACCAACATACCTTGGCCGTGCATCAATTGCAAGCAGGGAACAGTGCACATCCTCGGGCTGGAGACGCGGCCACCCAAGCTATCCCCTTCACGGCTATGCACACGATGCTTTGTGGTCCAGCTGCGCCCTATCCGCTGGCGCGCGCGCCAAGCCGTTCAGAAGACGTACCTGGGAACACCGGAGATGCTGTTATTGAAGCAGACAACTGCGCCGAAAGCAACCCAGTATATTGCAGAAGCATGTCGTTCCGTGCAGCTGGGTTGAACATCGGTCTCCGATGCGGGCCGCAAACATCCCTCGATTTAGCTCAGGAGTCCTGTCCCTATGAGCCAAGAGAGCCTCGGAGAGCTCGACGGGGAAGGCTAGCAGCCTCTGCAAAAGGCGGATGAAGCTTCTGGCTCATCACCACCACGACCACCTCCGTCTTCATCTTCACCTCATTATCATCATTCCGCTTCATCATCACCAGCATGATCATCGTCTTCCCCTCTCTGTCGCCACAGCCAGAATCATGTGCGGAAACCACAAGATGACAAGCTACATCATGTGATCTACCCTTGGGCCTGCATCTTCGGGTGGCAGGCCGTTTTTAGCGTTTGCCGGGCAGCTTCTCGTTGAGTGTGTTGCTAATTGTTTTTACACGTACGTGTAAAAAACAA